GAAAGGTTAATTTATGCGTAGCACAAACAAAAAAGCTAGTCAATCGGGTGACTGACCAGCACTCACGTTTTGGCCAGTCTCTCACGATTCTTCTTCGTGGTGATCAGGGGTAACTTCTACAGTTGGCTGTGTGGTCTTCAGAACCAGGATTGTGTTTTGGGCCCATGCTACCGCTACAGTAGTGTTTGGATCACAGGTTTGATAGGGCTTGTCCAATCCGCTCAGGGTTCGTATGCCTTGTGTTGTTTGACGTTTTCACATGATTTGATGACTTTGGCTATTTGATTCGTGTGCTCAGCCAGTTTCATTCTTGTAACGTGGCCCGCTCACTCAAACCATTTGGGGATGTAGCGTTTCTCTGCTGCGTGCTGCACGATCCCCAAAGCATTTTCACATTGTCATTTGATACTGCTAAGAGGGCGAGTTTGTTTTTCCCCGGATGCTCTGTTGCCGCATGCAATTCACGTTCGTCTGCGGTCATTCAACTTCTCCAGTTTGACCTTCATTCTTTGGGTGGCATGGTTTCTGGTTTCTACTATATTAGCATATCAGTATTTCCTGTAATCGCACAGTAGTTTGTAAATCCAACATAAAGAGTTATTATTGATAGAGTTCCACCAAAACCTACCTCCTAACAAGGTCAGAGAACAATATGAAAAGCATCGAGGATCGTGCAGCATGCAGCAGAGAAACACTACGTCTCCAAATGGTTTTATTTCGCTGGCATCATTAAGGAAGAAAGAAATTGAGTAGACACATCAAAGAAGCCTCAATTATCCAATCCTTCAAAAATGTTAGTCGAGACAAAAGATACGAACTCTGCGAAGATTGGACATGCCCTATTAGTTTATATCAAAAAGCCATTCAACCAGCAGAATGGGCCAAATCACACCTCCGGCTCCAGAGGCCACAACAGCTGCGGACCACAGTTGAAGAATTCGAGCCGGACTACCTTGAAGACAGCTTAGAGACGAGCCGAAATTTCGGTACTGGTCGATCACGATTTTGAGCAACTGATCTGTTTGCGTTGTGCATAAATAAACCATTTCATTCAGTTTTCAGTCATCAGTAAGTTTCGTTATCATCCTCGAATGCAAGCGAAAAATACTGCTGTTTACCGAATTAAATGTAATGATTGTGAGTTTATTCCTATCAGATAAATTTCCGAACGCTAACGAACGTAAAAAGGCCATCATTGATCGTCATGCTCAGTCATCTGGTTTTGCTGCCTGTTCCGTAGAAAATGAGCATCCACTGGACAAGGCCAATGCCGCACTCATTCATCACTGATGACGAAGGGTGAAACTTTTGATCGGTGAATCACTGAATACCTCTATGAACTGAAATACGATGTGAAACAGCACTAACTGTTCGGCATGTGGCGTTGTCCACCGTAGCTGGTCCTACCTGTTGCTATTGTTATTGTTGGGTGCGGCTGCCCAGGTTTCACCATCTCAATGTTTGTTTCGAGGATGCCCATGGTATTTAAAGAAGAAGAGGATGACATATAATTGAAATGAGACTTCGAAATCATTCGAACAGTTAGCGCAATCCTAACATTAGTTAAAATCAAATGGCTTTTTATTGAACCTTCCATCCATGTCATGAGGTGAGGGCAACAACTCAAATATGTTAAGACGTCAAAAGGCTAATTAGGATTGAGCATATTATCCTACGCTGATTTTGTAACCACTGTAGTCTCTCACGAACTTAAAAATTGTCTGCCTGTAACACTGGTATTGAAATAGATGAATATATGAAAATCCGTGCCTTGATTACTCCAAATGTAATATCTGCTGGCAATTTAGCCCCGGGTAAAGGACCACTGTTGAGTCTCTCCTACATTGCTATCGTGGAAAGGCGCTAAACGATACTAATTGCATGCATAAAGTCACTGAAGTAGAAGCACGGACAGTGGTCTGACAACGCCAAACTAGTAATGACCATTAATATTTTCATTTACTTAATATTGATGACAAGAAAGATACGAAAGAGAATTCTACTGCGCTGCCCCATGGTATTTCAAAGAACTGGTAGCTTGCCATCAGCAATTTCAGAGATAAATATTAATTTTGTTGTGCATATCAACGATGGGAAATCTTTGCTTGAAATGTTTACAGGCAAAAAGTTCCTGTTTTTGGTCATACGAGATTACGGCTAGATCTCAGCCAAGTAATAAAATTCGCCGATTTTAAAACAGTAAAGGTTAAATTGCTCCTGCATATTAATCACTTGAATTTGCTTGAGCAATACAATTGCATTCAGCATAGAATGATCGCAACACAGTAAAAATGTAAAAAAATTGGTGTTTTTCATTACTTGGCTGATGAAGGTTGGAAACTGTGACGAAACCAACCAGACATCATTAATCAGGTAACTCTGTCCTTGACCCCGTTACTCCAAATGACGATGACAGCAACACAGACCGAAGCCTGATCCCATCTAAATGTTATTGCATCGCTGTCAATGTCTCCCATGACGTCAAGTTTCTTTGAACTGTTAGCTGTTTAGCAAGTGTGTCACAGTGAACGCAATTGTGCAATAGAGCAATTGCTTGTTCGACAACGAAGATTACACATTTTTACCTAGTTGGACGACTGCCACCGTAATAGCGATGTTCCAGAAGGAAACGTAATGCACCGAACAGGCGCGCATTCACGATCCAATCATAACCGGATCCTGAAGAGCGAAATCACTAGTAAAAAATCTAAAATGTCAGTACCATCTGATATAGTCGAATAATGCATGATCCCTTCTCCATTAAGATAAAGAAATATCGGGCCACCAGGTTTATAAAATGCGCTATTCACAAAGTATCTCTGAAAGCAGTGGCAAAGGTTACTAACTTACAATTCGATATTTGAAAGTTTGGTTCTTACCTGGGCCCAAACCCGTTTGTCAGTGGGGTTGAAATGGTCTAATTTCTGGACAATGTAATCTAAATGAATCGTTCCAGCTCGGTTGTCAGTCGCTTTAAATGTCCAGTCAGAATTCAGCAATAGTTCATCTCGAATTTTCCCATTTTTGAACCAAAATGTCCCTTCAGCGCATTCAGTTTCGACAAATACGTAGAAAAATGTGAAAATTATTATAGTTCTCATGATTTAATTCACACTACAGCGATTCTGCGAATGACAAAATTAATAGGTTGCGAAGAACCGCCATATATTTAAGTTGTGTGTGGCTTTACGTCACACTGAAATCTGTTGTTTATCCTTCTCACTTTCTGGCCAAAATAAACGTTGACTTTAATCGCTTTATCTTATTCGCTCATTATTTTGCTTCAGTGATTATAAAGTTACTATCAAATCCTTTCGAAAAAGTCATTTTGCGAAACAGCTCTCTGATATAATAAAAGAAACAATGTTTCTCCTTTAATTTATTTATGGTTTACACCCTGTGTTGACTTCTAGCCAGCCTTTAGGTGTATGTAAGCCATGATTTTGAGCCAGGTAAACGCATAATATCTGCAGGACAACAAACATTATTTCAAGCATTTTTCGTCGCTTTCAAAATACCATGAAAGAAATACTTCTGAGCAATTGCTGGTGAGCCTCGTGGGCGTCTTTCCAGTCGCAGTGTTGGCTTCTAAGCGTCAGCCTCCCTGATTGCGCTTCCACGCGAGAATCTGATGATAAACCAATGTTCGCGTTTGCTCATTCCTCTGTCACATCATTCGTCGTCTTTGCAGCACGGAATACGTCATCTCATAACTTAATCGTAGATACTACGACCCCGTTACTTTACGAGAATGACGACAGCACATTTATCTAGACGAAACTCATCGGTTCCCTATAGGGCACCTGCCTACAGATTCCCACTACGACTGTAGGAAGTTTATGTCAAGAGCCGCGAAAGCGCCGCTTGGAGGGTGAAGGCTCTAAATCGCAATGAACGACGTGCGTGTTGCGGCCGTCGCTCATCTACGGTTACCGGCCGGTCCAAGTGATCGGTCTATATATAACCTGATCTTCAGGCTTATACTCTGCATGGGCAAATTTCTTTCAAGCCTACAAATGCTGCAGCCGGCTACGATCCAATGATATACCTGTCGTCGATGGTCCTTTTAATTTTCTCATCACTGGGTATTACTCAGATAAATCGAAGGTCTGTTCATTCGGTAACGGCTTGAACCGATTCTGCCATCTGCCGTACCTATCATCCGTGTAATCACAAGACGTAAGGTGAAGTACCTTAAGCTGCACCTTCGGCTTAATGTCATTCCATTCCTTGCATGATGGTAACTACTTTCCTAATAACATAGTCCAGTGCAATGTTAAACAATGCAGGAGAGAGAACGTCGTCTCGCCTCATATCAT